GAAGGAGAGAATTAGTTGGGTGTCATCGGCATAGCTGTGGTAAGAGAAGCCATGCGAGCGAATGACAGCGCCAAGAGAGTTGGTGTAAAGCGAGAACAGGAGGGGACCCAGCACGGAACCCTGAGGAACACAGATCCTCGCCAGGTTACCCGGTAGGTGCGGCCGTCGAGGTAGGTTTAATCCTTTAAACATCTGCGCGGGCAGCAAACTCAAACCGCTGCAGAAATGCCTTAAACACAAACACACTTTGTAATGGGTGTCAGGGGGGGGGCAACTCTTCTTACAAGGTGATTTGTATCGCTTTAAATTTTTCACACTGGGTTTGCAGTTTCTGAAAGTTAATTGTCACATTTTGGTGTCCTAAAAGTGCCTCACTTAGCGTGTGGTAGTATTTAGCTTCTGTTGATGTTGTTTTTAAGAAATGATATCAGCTAAGAAATCTGTTGGGCAAAATGAAGTTGGCACGGGTCCATCACCCGTTTCCAACAGCCCGTGACGTGCGCCTCACACTTCAGTGCTTCTATTTGCACAAAAGTATGTTGGATAATAACACAAATGTTGTGTATGCAGTTTCGGACGCAGTAAGGAGTGACCACTTCAGTTTTAAACTCACTTTGGAAGCTAAGAAAAAAGGATCAAATCTAGGGAACAGGGAGGGGGAGAAACACTACAATGCAACAATTCTTGCTGATCTGTATGAACATGAATGCACAAAACCATGTCAGAAGTGTATGAAGCCAAGCAGTAAAAATCTTCTTCGTGTTTTGAGACGTACGTAATAATCCAAGATACAGATGTAAGAAATGAGCGGGCCCATGTTGTCATTGAATCATCCTCAATCATTAAAGGGACACCCATCCACTTATCCTTGGATTGGTCACCACTCACTCGCAGGCCGAACAGAGACAAACAACCATTCATACACACACACTTACGGGCAATTTAGAGTCCCCAATTACCCAAATCGGCAGAGGAAGCCGGAGTACCTGGAGAGAACCCACAGGAACCCGAGGAGAACATGCACACAGGACCTTCTTGCTGCGAGGTAACAGTGCTATCCACCACGCCACCATGCCGCCCGTATCAAATGGAAATGGTAGCCTTAATTGTATTCCAATTTTTTGAATTCCAGTCTTCTCCACTCTTAAGACAAATACCTGACCTGATGTCCAATGAGAGTTGAGGGAGTAATAATTCATCTCATGTCCTAAATCATGTCCTAAATGACATTACATTACATGTCATTTAGCTGACGCTGACCAAAATATCAATGCTTGGCAATGTTTTCTGCACTCATTTATTGTGGTACTTTGTTATCTCCCCTCAAGACTCATCACTAGTAGAGACCGATGTGGAGGTGCACATGTCAGTTATTGGGTATCTTTCAATCAATTGTGGTGTTTTCAGAGAAGAGGGTTTCCTTTTGACATTTCTGCTGGTAAACACTTCATCATTATAAATTATTATTCTAAATGTGTCTGTAGACTTGAGATGGTGTACAATGGGCGTGAGGGATAAACCCACACACGCAGATGGAGGTGGGGGTGGGGGGAAGGGTGGGGAGGGGGGTGGGGGGGTAGTGAACTAACTCTCTAATCTGCCTGTCAGAAAGAAAAGCGGGAGAGAAAATCAAGTCTGCTGTTTTATGGAGTGCCAGAGGAGGGGGAGTTGGTAATTACACGGGGAGAGGAGGGGAGGGAGAAGGGGGAGGGAAAGAGAGCGAGGTCAGGCAGTGAAAAACAGGGCAGGAGACAGAGAGGGACGGAGGTAACAAGGGGAGAAAAAAAAGGGAAAAGGAGCTGAGAAGACGGCAAGAAGAACCTTGAATACTTACTGGACCTGCTGGATTAGTGACATTTACTTTCATGTGCATCCTCTCAGAGCACGAGACTTTATGCCTGTTTGCATGTGTGTACTAGCAGCATTTAACAGGACCAGCGTTTTTGTACATAAATGCAAGGCATAGTCAGAGGATGAGAGCCCTTTGCCTCCCTCTCGCTCTCTTCCTCCTCTTCTCCTCTCCTGTACAAGCCCAGTGGTGGAGTTTCTTTTGGGGGAACTCCAAAACCAGCAGCGGCTCAGCTTCTCCCTCCATTCCTCCTCCCATCCCCTCTCCATCCATCACCCCGCTGGGCCCATCTGACGCCACAGGGGCGACGGATGTGGTGGTGTTAATGAAGGAAGGGGGGGCAGAGAAAGCTCCGCAGGGCAGCCCTCTGACAGAGGGGTCCGTGCTGACCACCACATCCAGCCCAGAGATGCCAATCTCCAGCCGCATCACTGCAGAACCCGGGCTGTTCCATCCAGAGGAGAAGGCAGGAGGTGGGGCCCGATACAAAGCACTGAAACGCTGGAAGAGCGGTGAGTGATGAGGAGCCGCTGGAGAGGATAGGCGATAGTGGATAGTGTTGTTTTAAAAAAAAAAAATTGAAAGGTCAGGTAACTTTAATGTATGTTCAACCTGCCTCAATACATGTTTTGTCCACTTGGAGGCAGCAGAAAGAAGTCAACTACACAGTTGCGCCTCATGAAGTTGATAGTTCTAACTCACGAGCAAGCGCCTGCCTTTACTCATCCAGCAGACTCAGAGCAACATGCATCAGCAATGTAGTTGTGTCCACCATGTCGTCTTTAAGATCCGCTCCTTACCTCGCCTAAGATAATCATTGGTTCAGTATCTCATGCTGATGGGACAGTAGTTCAGTTCCTTGTTCTTTGATCCAATATTTTAAATGGTGTCCTGTCATGCCCCAGTGTGTCACACAAATTCGGAACAGAAGTCTTGATTGGCTTGTAATGTCACCCAAGCACCTCGATGTGCTCGTCATAAAATCCGCCGAAGTCCTAAAAAATCCAGAGAGAGTGGGCAAGGCCGTGGGAGCCTATTGTGTGGTGTTTCAGGGTCAAGGTGGGTTTAAAAGGTCAGACATGGCAACCCTATAGGGGGTTTCCACAATACAATGCTCAGGGGGGCAACATGACATGGATTAGCTTCAGGAGGAGGGAACTGATGTGGAAAAATGTGAGGCGGAATGACTCAGAGATCAGATGACCAGCGGACTGTTTGAGTTGGCGACATGAATGCAATGAACGGTGACCGAACTGCCTCATTGATACTCTGCTTCACGAAGATCGGTTTAGGAATTCAATCCAACTTTTAATTTGTGATTCATTAAAAATGTTAAGATGTATTTGTGAATAGTTGTTCCTTCCTGGATGTAACTACAGTAAATGTGTGTACTCTTAAAACCATATCACCTGATGTCATTAGAGTGGAACCAGAACCGTAAGACCTTTCAGGCAACTCATTTCTATAGGTCTGGGTGTTTGCATGTGTGCGCGTGTGTATGTGTGTGTGTGTGTGTGTGTGTGTGTGTGTGTGTGTGTGTGTGTGTGTGTGTGTGTGTGCGCCTCCCAGCTAATTGTTTTTTCTTTAAGAGTGGGCATCGTTTGGAGTTCCAATACTTTTGCTCTGGTCAATTTCACAGGGAAATATTGCACATTTTTAATCTTCAATTTTTTAAGAAGGAGCTGTAGTCTAATGACTACTGTGCTGTATATCAGCGTGACCCACCCATATGGAAATAAGGTTCCTATTATGGATACATGTCCTTTGTAAGTGTTACGTTTTTCATAGAAAAGGAGGAGAAGTCAAGTTTTCGCTGTCACTGGATTTTTTGATGTTTTACGTTCTTACCTGTTACCTTAATAGCATACACTTTGGGGCCGGCGCTGTAACACGGAATATAGCTCCTTCGACACCCGTCCGACTCGGTAGGAAAAATGTCAAATAAGTTTCTTAGACAATTTTCTGGGGTATTTGTCAACAAATTATTATTGAAAAGAACACAGTGCTTTATACAAAAAGAGATTGTTTTACTCCAAGAACTGTGCATGAGATTCGTACTAACTCCCCCACCCTTCTTTCTTCTGGCCGACATGGACCTTGAGAACTCTTCACAGCATTAAAGACGCATACGTGGATCCTTGTCTTCAAACGGCAGCCGTCCAAGTCCTCAATAGTAATCTCCACCAGGTTGCTGCTTCTGCCGAACCCTGCTCACACTAATTCCAACAGCAATGTCGACAGCTGTATTTCAAACTTGTGTCTCTCACGCCGGAGGAATGAAAAGTCAAACTTGTGCAGTTTGGGGCGGCGCACATGGTTGCATCGTGATCCCTCTCACAGCAATGCCCTGTTGCCTTTTAGTCGTTGCTGAGCACTAATGACTCTGCATCTGGACGCCACGGCCTCGCTGTGTTTGTGCGTGAGCGTATTTGGTTTTGCACATCTTGAGTGCCCACCTGGTTGCGACAGTAAACTTGTACCTTTGCAGAGATCCACTTCTAGTGATTGGTGTTCCAAAGTGCACGGCCTCACGCCGACACACACTCCTCCGAGCCTCTAATCAGGGGTGCTTCCAGTTGGTCAGGCTGATGAATTAGAGACCCCCAAATGTTGGCCTGTCTGCTCTGCATGGTCTAGGGTTTGTGTGGGAGAGATGTGTGTTTGATGTGTGCGCTACGCATACAGATGAGCGTGGATCTTTGAGTGTGTGTTTGTGTGCTTGCGCTTGACAGAGATATGTACGGTGATCCTGGCCGGAATGCTGAGGTGAGAGTCCGTCGCCACAGGAGACCGACTCCTCAGTGAGGGGAAGCGGGGGAATGCGACGCGCCGAAGACTCTTAATTGCTGCTCATTATGTGTGCACTTCTGTTTCGGTGGATTATGTCCATGCGGGGCCGAGCAGCGAGGCATGGGCAGAGTCCCGGAACAAATTAAGTCAAATTAAAGCCATGTCAGGATGATTCTGTTAGCCTCTCTTCTCTACCCTGATGTGTTGTGTGAATTTAGCAGCACACGGGTAGCAGGCAAGGAGAAGCCCTTCGATCTGACCTCAGCAGTACAGTTCACTTACAGGTGGATGTTAATGTCAAAGGGAGAAAAAGCATGTCATATGTTTACATGCTCTTTTCTACATTGTCTGTGTCCATCAGGACGAGGCTCAGGTCACCTGGACCTGACAGAGTTAATTGGCGTTCCCCTCCCTCCCTCCGTCTCCTTCACCCCGGATATGAAGGCCAGCCAGCCTACAACTTCGGGCCCAACGCCAACATTGGCCGGCTCACAAAGACCTTCGTCCCAGGGTCGTTCTACAGGGATTTTGCCATCATTGCCACGGTAAAGTTTGAAAGCCCATAACAGTCAAAGGCAATGCTTTTTGTACTGCACGTATTTGATTGGCTGCCGGCCTGCTAATAAGTGATTAAATGTTTTAATAACAGGCTTCATGATCTCAAGATAATTAGATAAATGGAGTTTGTTCAAGAGATTCAGATTCAGCCATACAAACAACGAACATGGTGAAGTTATTGGGAGTGATTATCGTCATTGTGACTAAGTCCAGTCTTCATTATATAGTGTTATTAAGGGTATTAACAAAATAGAAAAAATGCATCATATTCAACGAACTATAGGTTTATTCGGTCAGGACACAAGTGACATGCTAAAGGTGTATCTTTGTGCTAACTTCACATTTGGATCATTTAAACACCTTTTGAAGACTTTGCGCTGTCAGTCGTTGTTAAAAGAGAAATATGTTATTTTTTTGGAAACTCCTCTTGCTGACATGGTGCTGCTGTTAATCAAGCCACATGTTGTTATATTCAGGGGGTCACTTGATGCAGACGTCTCTGAAACACAGCAGTGGGTGAATGAAGATACATGTCATGATTTATTTATGTCTGATATAAATATCAAACATTTTTATTTGACCAGTGTTTCAATATCAATACATTTTTCTTCCCACGTTTTTCACCGTGGTCAGCACCTCTCTCCAATATCTATAATAATGTCAAATACACTGTATGGATTTCTTTCTATGCTCAAGAACAAGCTATATTGTTAGGAAAGATCATGTCACGTCATCCCCTTGTCCCCTTTATTTTTTCTCTTCTTTCTTTTTCTTTACTTGCCTGATCATCACGTTATTGAATTCCTTTTACATCTGAAAATGCCTTTTGTGATACCTATTCCAAATGCCCCTTTCTGTGGCTCTCAGTGGGTTAATATTCCTCATGTGATGCCTGTGATATGTGAGCAAAACGAACCCTTTGGTGACGTCCGATGTCTTCTGCCTTCTATCCAGGTGCGCCCGGACACTCCGAGGGGTGGCGTGCTCTTCGCCATCACGGACTCCGGCCAGAAGAAGGTGGAGCTGGGTTTGGCCCTTACTCCGGTGCATGGGGGCCTCCAGGGCATCTCACTGTACTACACCGACAGGGAGCAGGCCTCCAACAGCAGCCTAGCTGCGTCCTTTTCTGTCCCGATTATGACTCAACAGTGGACACGATTCACGGTGAGGATTTCATTCCGTACATGTTGAACAATTCTAGGATCTGGCTTAGACATTTTGACATTTGTACCCTTTGTAATTTACTCCTCTTTTATTTACCGCTGAATATGCATAGGTATTAAACCTATATGAGGGTCTGACGTAAGCAGATATGAACACTTTTAATCCAAAGAAGGAGCATGCCATCTTCACAATACCATTTTCAAAATGGACAGAATTCCTTTTTATTGTCAACCATGAGAATTGGTCCATCAGGTGGTGGTGGAGCATGACGAGGTGCGTCTCTACATGGACTGCAGAGAGGCCGTGAGGACCACTTTCTCGCGGAGCCCCGAAAGACTGAACTTCTCTCACAATTCAGGTGTTTTTGTAGCCAATGGTGGAAGCACGGGGCTCGAAAAGTTTTTGGTGAGTGAAGAAAGGATGAGGAGAAGGATGGAGATATAAAGTTGGCGGCATGCATCAATATCAGTGTGTGCGGTTGGGTTAGGATTACATTTGTTTGTGTTTCTGTGTGTATGTGTGTGTGTGTGTGTGTGTGTGGAGGCATGTGAAGTTGTGTTTCGGCCTCTTATTACCATTTAGCATATTTAACTAGATAAAGCTGTATAGGAGCAGAGAGACGGAGGGAGGGAGGGAGGGAGGGAGAGAGAGAGAGAGAGAGAGAGAGAGAGAGAGAGAGGAAGCAATAGATGGGAGGAAAGACTAGACATCGTGACGAGGGAGGGAGAGGGGGGAAATGGGAGTGTGGGAGGAGAGGACGGGAGGAGTAAGCAGATGGCGGAGGAGGAAGTCTGAGACGTCAGCAAGGCTTAGTTGCGGCCACATAAAGCGTTTGACTCGGGCCTCTGAGTCCCCCGGCATGTCAATCGTTATGCCGTGATACGGTAAAACTCAAAGCAGAGTTCCAGAAAACTGTCTGTGGGAAACTGCCAGAGAAATCAAAGGACGAAAGACTCATTTACTACAACTCTCTTCTCCTTGATATTATCATTTATTATGTTCCACTCATGGACGCACACAAATACAAGCCGCCGTTCACTTGTTGCTATGGTGACTGGACAACTCCGCTCTATTCTGCTTTGTTCAGCGGAGCCTGAATTTCTGAACGGGTTATCCGATGCATGACGACGGAATATGTTCATGCTCAGGAGCAGCGACGTGTGGTGTGAAATATCTGGGTCACCCTCTGTTTGTGTGCACGCGTGTGTTTGTGTCCCAGTATTTGTTGACTCTGCCTGCACGTTGAGGCAAGGGGCCCTTTTTAATAACACGTACTTGTGCGAGTGTTGAACATGAGTCCAACAGGGACTGCAGACAGATTTGCTCACTTGTGGAAGAAAATTCATGTTCTCCAATGTTTGAAGTGTGTGTCAGTAATATGTGATCAAGGTTGACTCACAAGAGTGTATTTAAAATGTGCTCTAATATCCCGATTAAAATCATGTAAACATGTAAACACCATAGCAAGGTTTGAGATACCTCATCCAGTTTCCATATCAAGATATATGAAGTGTTAACAATACTTCTGTATGAACATATGACGACAAGTAAACATGCAATCAATCCCATACTCAGGTTTAAGCCCTTTAATGCACTTCAATCAAAAATAACCTTTTATGCAGAAAATGTACATGATATTATTATCATTAAGTATTATTGCATCAACATTTAAGCAGCATTTTATTGTTGAAGCTAGACAAGGTGAAGATAGTTTTAACGTGTTTTTTATATTTAAAGTACAGTTTTAGTAGCACGAAACTGAAATACTCTAGTTAACTTAAAGTTCCCTCAAAATTGTATAGCTAAGGCGTTATTATATTCTCTGCCATATGTGGCTCTGAATCAACTAATCTATGTAGTAATTAGTAATGATTAACAAATCATATGAACCAAAGTCATTTAAAGACTAAATAAATGAAAAAATAAAGTGGATTCTGATGACGATCAACAATAAAAGTCAAAACTGACTTCTGTCATGCTGCTTTTGTTTTGGTGGAGCTGCAACTCAATTTATGTTTCCTTTTAATATGCCAGCTCAGAAAATTAGATCACATTTAGATATTCCAGTGTGATCTAATCCGCTCTCTTTGATCCAGGGATCCATTCAGCAGCTGGTGATAAATGATGACCCCCGAGCAGCTGAGGAGCAGTGTGAAGACGACGATTCTTATGTGAGGAACACACACACGGACATGGTAGAGGTGGCTGGAACGCAGGAGATTACTATTGAGCTCTTTTGGACATATATTAAATTGTCTTCAAATATCAGACACATTAATCAACACTGCCATCTAGTGGTCAAATAACGTCAATGAAAGATCAAATGACGTAACTTTGGCTGTAATGTGACAACTTTGTGCTTGTGTTTCCTGCCCTCTGTGAGTGGCATAGGACATATTTTATACATTTTATGATAGGACTTCTAACTGGCAATTTAATACTGATGTCTCAGTGGGACCTACATTGACCCAGATCCAGCTTTACTGCGGCCTTGTACCTGCGGTTGGAGCTCTGTACCTGGATACATTGGCTCCAGGACAGAGATGCTATTCTATTCTGAGAGTTATTCAACAATATGGAAAAATAATAGCGGACTTCATCATCATTGGTTAAGGTAGAAAACGTATGATTGTTTTTGTAAACCAACGCATACTCTGATGTTTGTCAAAGGCCTCGGGATTCACCAGTGGAGACGATGCTCTGGATGACAGAGAGACAGAGGGGGTGAAGAAAACACACAAAAGAAAACATGGCACAGCAAAGGTGAGCCGGCTGGATGAAATGCTGGGAACAAGTACGCATTCGATGGCTTTGACATTTCTGTCTTCATCTTTTGACAGTTTGGGAACTCATTATACACGTAAAACAATGTACATGTGAAAAACAAATTGTGAGCAGAGGTTCTGGGTTCTTCAGATCCCCTACGAATTAATAAAAAGGGCAGTTATAAAGGCTCTAAATGCATCAATGTCAAAATATGCTGAACATCAAAAAGTTGCATTGAGTCGGTTGGAATATCTGTGTGTGCGTGCGTGTTTGTTTCTTCTCTGTTCCGGTCCCAACTTTCCTTCTCCCTCGGACGAGGGAGTCAGTCCGACCCCAAACATCCCACAATCAGCAATGACTTTGAAGCTTCAAAGGAAACGGTCCCTCAGAAGTTAAATAACTGTTACCAGATATATCAAAGTGTTGGTAGATGTCCGGAGACCTTCATCAGCAAACAGTGCAGACCAATAGTTTAATTGAATCAGAATTTTCTGAGGGTGTGTCAACTGCAACAAAGAATCATTTTTGATGTGGTTGGGCTGTTGAGGTTTACTCGTCGTCTTGGTTTCCCTGAGGAGGAGGACAGCCTTCCGGTAATAGCTCCGCCCACTGAGGCCCAGAAGGCGGAGCTTGACGAGGACTCCGGTCACCAGACACGAACAGAAATGCTGATCAGAGGTCAGAATGAACCTCTAAGATAACTTATGTACATGACAAACAAAGTATTGATATTTGCACTTCAAGGTCAACATCATTGCAAGGACTCATTTTGAATGTTGTGATTAGCTGGGAGGAGCAGGCGTTTGGGACTAGCATGACAAGCGTGGGCTGGGGAAATTTCCAAGAGCTTAACATCCGACAGCATGTACTATAGTATTGATGTGAATGCGTGAGTCGTGCCAAACCTAGAGGAGAGAGCATAGTAGTTAAATAGGGATAAAATCAGTTTTAAGTAGCGCTGTAACTGTAAATACACTTTTTTGCTAGACGCAGATGAGAAAATATGTTAAAACAGCAACAGAAGCAGCATAAATCACGTATATCGACAATGAAGGGAATGAAAACGACAAAACATTTTCATCAGTTACGTCCATATATCTGTATCATGCTTGTAGAATGTTTTTCACAATGTTACCTTACATGCTCGGAAAAAACTGTTGATGATGTCACATGCTGTGCACAGAGCATCAGACGGAAGAGGCAGGGGAGAGATTGGAAGATGTGAGTTGGAGTGGACTTTATCACCAATCTTTCAACACTCTCATATTGTTGTCAATGCTTTTTTAAAACCTTATGAGACCTTTGACATACATGCTTAGTTATTTAATTGCAGTCTAAGTTATTTTATTCTATGTAAATCATATTCAATCTGAATTCCAAGGGCAATATCAGACATGGGTCAAAGGGAGAGCGTGGAGATCCTGGACCCAAAGGCTCACCTGGCCCACCTGGCCCGCCTGGTCGCCCAGGTTACAGCCCTCTACCTGGGCAAGCTCAGCCAGGTCCAAGAGGGACAAAAGGACCACAAGGAACCCCTGGAACCCCGGGACTGCCAGGGAGAGACGGGCAGCAGGTGTGTTTGTGTGTGTCAGGAGATAAAGTGTGAGTTCTTAAGATTCAGTACTGATCCAAAATCTCTCTCTTTCTCTCTCCCTCTCTCTCTCTCTCTCTCTCTCTCTCTCTCTCTCTCTCTCTCCCTTAACAGGGAATCAAGGGTGATCGAGGAGATCCAGTAAGTCATTCATCTTATATGCTCTGCTTTGAATGTCACATGCAATGCAATAACTAAAATGTGTTTTTCCATCCAGGGTCAGAGAGGATCTCAGGGATTTTCAGGTTTGGATGGAGAAGCTGGACCTAAAGGAGAGAAGGTAGAGCCCACAAGTCTCAACTAATTACACAACAAAGTAGACTCCTAATTTTAAATCCCTCACCAAATTCAGTGTAAAAGATAGCTTATTGCATTATCTCAACAGGGAGAACCAGGAGTTGGTCTGCCAGGTCCTCCAGGCCGCCCTGGGACTCCTGGACCCCCCAGATCACGCAGTGTACCTGTAAGTGTCACAGTTTTTTGGTTTGACTTGTGCTCACATAACATGCACTTGTAGTGTGCGGATCCTGCAATTTCCAGAGATGAAATCAACATGTAATAAATGTAGACAAGGGTTAATCCTAGTTGGGCAACCTTTGATGTACTGAGAGGTTCACTGCGAGTGAAGTAAAATGTTTGAACAGACATCTCTGTGAATGTGTGTTGCTGTGTAACAGTATGGAGCAGATGCCCTGGGTTCTGGCTTTGAAGAGCTGGACAGTGAAACTGATCTCATCAGGGTAAGAGAAAGGTAGCATAGGACAGACGGTATAAACTTGAGCTTGGAAATACTAAAAAAATCTCTTTCAAACAGGGTCATCCTGGTCCACCAGGTCCTCCAGGTCCTCCTGGTCCCCCAGGACCCCTGTCATCATCGGACACAGTGGAAGGACACTCTCTAGTGCGTGCCGGACCACCCGGGGTCCCAGGCAGAGACGGGCTCCGAGGAAAACCTGGAATACCGGTGAGTTCCCTGGATGAAAAACGTTCAGCATTCAATTTTCCATCTCATTTTGTTACAAATAAACTAGCACCTGCAGACTGCCGGGTCTTCGTTGCAAATAATTAGCAATGTCACAGCCTCAAAACATAGTTTCATGAATTCATTCATGCACGGGCAGTAATGACTACATGGTAATCATCATTAAATCACATTTCTACACACCAGCCCTTTGAGTAAACCTATCAATGTTTGAAACTCTGTTTTCAACCAATGATCAGACTCGCCAGAGAAAAGGAAAGACACAGGATATTAATCAAACACTGTCTGTATTGTCCAGATCTAAGTTGAAAAGAAAATCTGTGCTTTAAAATATGATTTTAATTTCTGTCAATTTTAATTAGTTTAAGTTTGGTTATCTTTGCGATTCCATGATTTATATGTAAATACGTTGCCTTTACCTTTTTATATTGTGGTGATGCTTTATACCTGTCTGTTTAATCATCTTCGTTCTTCTTCTCCAGCTTTCCCTCCCATTCAAATTAACCTTCAGGTTTTTTCTTCTCTAATAATATCGTAGTGATTATCATTTGTGTGTGTCATGATCAGTCAGTCTTCATTCTCCTTCTCTCTTCTCTCCCTTCTTTTTTCTCCTTTAACTCCTACACCAAATCCTTGTTCTTCATTCTCCTCCTCCCCTCTGTGCTCCCTTCCTCCCACTCTGTTTCAGATGTTTGATGAGAATGGGTTTAGTGGTTCTGGGCCCGAGGGTTCAGGTTTGGGCTCGGGGCTCTCTTATGACCTCGGCTCTGGTTTCAGCTCTGGGTTCAGTCCCAAGTCCAGCTTTGCCTCTGGTTCTGGGCCTGACTTTGGGTCTGCTTGGGGTTCAGGCGAGGTATATTTTTCTGGTTTGCTGGGTGAACTAGCAAACAATAAAAAGGCAGAGTTGCAGTCAAACGCCTGTGTATTGAGGAAGTAACACTCTTGAGACAATACCATGTATTATAATCTATATTATAAGAATTTGATCTGAAACAATCTAAGGTGCTTTTAACTTAAACCAATCGTGATTCAACCCGGCTTTACCTCACTTCCACAATACTCAAGATAATGACTGTACACCATGTTGTCTTATTTGCTGACAGACCACCACAGCTTTTCTATTCTTCTATTTACCTACCTGGCTGAATTTGTTTGTATGTGTTTGTGTGCGTCACTGCTTTCTTTGTCCCCCCGCCCCCCCCCCCCCTCCCCCCCAGCCAATGTTTTTGCTTACGCACTGTATGAGCTGCTTTGTTAAGAATAAGCTTTGGTTCACTGACTTCCAGTTTACATGTTGTCATTGGCGAATGACAACATGTAAACAGCATAAGAATTTGCTGCAATGTTTGCACAATGCTAAAGGCTGTTTGCAGTCGATGCAAAGCACCGAGGTACACTGATCACTGTATGGGAATGTTGGATTAGGCAAAAAACAAAATGACGTTTTGTCATTCTGATAGCCTTGGCAAAACTTGTTAATGAGATATTCTGCAGTGGATTAAAGTGCTCAAAGGATCTACTGGCAGATATATTGCCAACCGTGGCACCTTTTACTAACCAGTAATCTCATGAGCCATGTGTCAGCCGTATTAGTATTTTACTAAAAAAGTATGAGGCTATTGGTAACAAATGTTGTCATTTTGTACAAAAGATGTACAGAGATTTTGTTGTACTTTGGTCTGATGCTGCTTTTTTAAAGGAATCATTTCAACTTTCCTGCTAAGTGATAAGAAAACAGAGGACAACATCATCCGTGCCGGTACGGCTGCTGATTCCACTGCTTCACGTCAAATTTGAGCTGAATGCAGAACGACAAATATCTTAAAATAAACTGATAGGTATTGGAGTTGGTAATACCAGACTGTGACTAGCAATTCAATAATCGTTCAACATTGTGTGAACATTATGTATGATGGTCGACATTCTTGTAAAGACTCATATCGGCATGGATGATCTTATCACTTAAGGAATCTGAGTCATGACAGGTATTCCTTTAGACCGACCGGCTGTCACCTTTTGGAATGGCTAAGGGCTGGATGAACGGCTGAGCATCTCATTTTTCTGTTTTTTTCCTGTGACTCATCTTTTTGTCGGGATCTATTCGTGTCTGTCTGTGTTTGCGTGTCCAGGGTCCATCAGGAAGGGATGGGGATCCAGGTCTACCTGGAGCAGTGGGAGCAAAGGTATGGTCCTCAAAATATTTTTTCTCTGAGAGTGAGCTTAGTGAACTATTCCAAAGTCACACTTTCATGGTCATCCATTTTTGGGCCTCTTGTGATACTTCTTTCTCTATTCCTTCTGAAATCCTAAGGGTAACCAAGGGTTATCTGGGCCAACTGGGCCAAAGGTAATATACAACTCAACATAGCATAAGCCAAGATAAATCTACTGCCCATGTGCTTGATGTCTACGTTTCTATTTCATCATCAGAACAAACCCGTTTTGGGTTCTTAGCTAAGTAGAGCAACAACTTACTGCTAACCAGGACGTTTTTCCTTTTTATTTCTGCAGGGTGAATGTGGGTCTGAAGGTAAAGCAGGGTCTCCAGGGTTACCAGGGCCCAGTGGTCCACCAGGGAAGAGAGGCCCAGCAGGTCCCCCGGGACCTCCTGGCCCGCCAGCAACCACGTTCTTTATCGAGGTGAATTTCAGATCTACGCATACACGTAGCATTTCTGCTGTTTCAATTTTTGAAATTATAAGGGTGTAAGTACAATGTGTAACACAGACTTTGTTATTGTTTTCAGGATATGGAGGGATCCGGGAAGAGTGACATGAGAGTCAGAGGCCCACAGGTTTGTGCCAGAGAGTGTGTTTTTAAATACATGATTTACATTGTTTCATTTAAAATATCAAATCATTTTATTATCATTTTTTGTAGGGCCCCCCTGGCATACCTGGCCCTCAGGGTGCCAAGGTAATACATGTATAAGTATTTCTATTTATGAAGAATTAACTGTAAGCATTATATGCTAGCTAGTTATTAGCTAATGATACAGTGGTTGGAAATGCTCTTCCATGTCTTCTGTAGGGTGAGGATGGAACCACAGGTGCTCCAGGGCTCTCTGTCAAAGTAAGATGACTCTTGAATGGCACTGCCAATGGGAATGGTGATATTTTCTCAGACATTTTGTGGTTTTAGTGTTCAGTGAGAGGTTTCCTTTGAAAAGCCTTCCTCGTCATTTATGAATCAATAACATAGTTGTTTGATTTGAAACTCACCATGAAATGACCAAAATAATAAGCATGTGAATTGTAGGGTGAGCCAGGGGACCCGGGACCAGAGGGTGGTCAAGGTCCTGCAGGACTACCAGGGGCTAGAGTAAGTAGCAGGTGTTTCTGCAGCAAACGTGTGGATGATGTAACTGATGCGGACAAATGGTGAAATGTTGTCTGATTAACTGATTGTTACAATGACAGCTTTGCAGTGTACTTTACAGTCAGTTTTCGTGGCCCTTACAAATTTGTGTTATTGTTTTTTCATTTGTAAAGAATAATGATGGGGATTAAATGTTAAAATGTGTAATTACATAAATAATGCCCATTCAAATATGCTCAGTTCCTCTAACCTTTTGGAAAATAGGCTTGTGCCACTGTCTTTCCAGCAGGACATTGGCATAATTTCTGTGCATTCAGATAAGTGTTTAGCGTTAGCTTAGAATACCAACTGATTCTCACTCATCCTGTTTCTCTGGCTAGGAAACAGGCTAAGAAGCTACCGGACTACACCGAATAATTCCTAATTTTGTATAATTATCCCTAAAGAAAGGTTTTAAATTCATACACTAGCTCATATATCACATTTGTCACCCAAGACATCCTAATTGTAGCAAGAAAGTTAGCTGACATGTTAGTAGTAGACAGCTAGCTAGCTTTTGGATCATTAGCTTCTAGTTTGATAGGAAACTCATACACCTGAACTGCTCACAAAGAATATATAGTTCCAGTACGAGTATAATGTGTCAAATCCCCATTATATATGTTTATTGGTTCTGGATGATGGTAAATAACAGATAAATCAAATCACGTTTTATTTCCTTGACTACAAACAGGGGGCCAAAGGAGAAACGGGCATTCAAGGACACAAGGTAGAATCATACCTATCCTGTTTCAACATTTTTTATGCTGTATGACGCTTGTTTAGAGGCTATGATTCATATTTTCATTATGGCTATGTACCAAATGAAAACTAACGTGGGCAGCTACCCTTTCACTCACATTTTCATTTTTAACAAAGCACTTTTTTGGGGTCATAAAGGGTGATCGTGGTGTTGATGGACTCACTGTTCGAGGACCACCAGGAGCTCCTGGACCTCCTGGACCGTTACTCAATCTGTCAGACGTATGTGTGCCCACCTTATTTACTGAAATCTGCAAAGCTCTGAACATACCCTGCAGAAAGGGGCCACATTTACTCACTGTCTATTTCCTCTACAGCTGTTCAATGTAACCAACGGGAACTTCAACTTCACAGAGATCAGAGGAGCGCCAGGTCCCATGGTTCGTATCACTAATCTATTAAAGATAATGTCTATCAAGATGGTACAAACAAAGAAATGTTTGACTGTAAAGAGGCACCGGCTGCTAATAAGGACAAAAGGAACGTTATGACTGTATTATGTATGTATGTACCTCTCACGACTTTTCACATTAAGAGGGAAAAAGATCAGATTCAGGGGCATAGATATAAAAACAATAAAAGGAGTCCATATTTTACTACAGTTGCAATAATGCATTTATAAAAGGGCTTCGGCTACAGCTGTTTGTGGTGTTGCTGTGTGGGAGCATGTTGCTCTTTGGCTTTGTCAGAGCCTTAAACCAGCACTGCTGCTCTAGCTTGCTATGTTTTGACATGTAGTTTTGTTGTTTGTTTGTGTTGCAGGGCCCTGAAGGGTTGCCTGGTAGAGCTGGATTTCCTGTAAGAGCATTTTGCAACACTTCCCCATGCTGAGCATTTGTGTCACGTTGACTGCGTTCCTACAATTTGAATGTGTACATGAATGTTTGTTTAGTTCATGACTGAAGATGCAACACATCTTTTAAAGCCGTGTAACATATTTTTTTCTCCAATTTTGTTTTTTTCTGTCTTGGGCTAAAAATGTTAGGTGTGTTTTTACTTCGGATGGTGATCTTTCCTTTTAGGCTGCGTAGTCCTTCATAAGTGCAAGACCCGGGATTTTTTTAAATAAGTGTTCATATATATATATTTTATTTGTATATATTAACTCTGTCATTTTCAAAGCTACACTGCCTGACTTAAAAAAAACAACTCACTAAACCTCCTAAATCATTCACTACAATTGAATCACTCCCCAGGGCCCCAGGGGACCAAAGGGAGACCTGGGCCCTGCAGGAGTCCAGGGACCAGCAGGCTTCAAGGTGAGAACTACACAAAATGTGGACTGTAATACAAAAATGTAAAATATTATAACATGTGACAATTGAGACAAGTATGTTCAACAAAAACCTATGTACGGTACACAGAGGATTAGAACCAATTATAACCGATTATAACCTTTGTGCTAACAGGGGGAGAAGGGAGAGCCGGGGGTGACCATTGCTGCTGATGGGTCCCGCTTATCCGCGCCAAAAGGCCCCCAGGGACCCAAAGGCATCAAGGTACCAGACAAGTGACCCTTTACTCCAATCAATCTTAACTTACCCAGATGAGAATTTGAAGAGCGGATGTCCATATGTCCTGCAAAGTATTCTGGTTCATTTGCCGCGTAGCCAATGACTGGACATTATATCTGCATTATATGTTTGTTATAATTTCAGAAAATTCCAGATCGAAGTTCCAACAGGAATATCGTGTACAAATATATGAATGCTTCACACTGTTCAAAACATTAGATTTTTGGCTATAATATCCACTTATCCGTTTGATAATACTTCAAACACTCCTACAAACTCCTACATGTTAGTAAATATGTTATGAAAATGAGTCCAGAAATGTGCACATGGCAGTGCTTACATTTCTTTCAGCGAAGCAAACAAAAAAAAAGAAACAGCTCACAGGTTTTGAGGGTAGGAAGCTGCCACTCTTTTCCGTGTGGTGTTAGTCGGGTCCATTAGTATTAGACAATTATAAAATAGTGGTTGAAATAGGCGGATTGACTAAGGAAAGATTTGCGCTCCTGTTGTTTCTCTGTCTAAAGCCTCCGCTAGAGTCGTTTTCAGTATTCTATGAACATGAAACTTTCCGTGATTACCGTCCACACACTTGGCTATCACATAGATGTGATTTATGTTATATAGGATTAAAGGGCTGATAATTACTTTTTCTTCAGGTGCTTCTCAAAATTCAAAGGGTTTTTTGATTTATTTCTTCACCAGTAACATATAAACACATCAGAACAATCACAGAAAATGTCCAGATAAAGAAAATAGTTACAGAGGTTTTACACTTTACACTATCATGGGTAAGCCAGCCAGTGCTGAGGTGAAGGGGACGTCAAAAGTTGGGGCTGATGGCAAAGGGGCGCCAAGAGTCACAAAAAATTAGCATTGTGACACAATGGAGCTCTTGAAGACTTGCATGAGCATCAAATCTGAGACTATAAAGATTCCCTTGGTTCTTTTGGAGGCCGAGAAACAAGCTGCCATTTGAAAACATGTGTATTACTGTCAAAAATATAAATAATGCCACGTGTCTTGTCATATTCTCGCCTTACAATTCACTGCACTTCCTGGTCATTTTCAGGGTGACCGTGGGTTTCCTGGACCTGTCGGTACTCTGGTGAGTTTGAATGTTCAATAAGACATAAATATCTATGAATACATATTTAATAAGTAGGACTTAGTCACAAGACATTTGACACAAATCTCTTTATTCATGTCGTTATAAGTTGAAATGAAAATCTGTGTTGCTGTTTATTTCAGGGCCCAATAGGACCAGCTGGACAAAAGGGAGAATATGGCTTCCCTGGCCGTTCAGTAAGTACAATCTATTCCTTGTATATTTGTGTTCCTTAGTGCTATACAAATAAAATTGCCTTAGTGCCCAGCGAAAAAAACAACGTATTCCCTCGTCTTTTAAATTAATTTTATATTGACCTATTCATAAATAAGCATTTTTTCGGTAGGGAACCTCCCGCACTCCTTATTACCTGTGATAATGATTCTCTAATTCGTATCTAAGATCTAAGATCGTATCAATCAAAAAACTTAACGGCACCTCTGAAAGTTTTTTAGTAGTTTTGTACTCAAATGTTCAAATCAAATCTTTCTTTATTCATATAGGAGCCTGTAAGTAAGATGAGTATTTGTGGTAATGGCAACACACTTAACCCTTTTTATCTTTTACAAATACCGCTCTTTGTGTTCAGGGACGATCTGGTATGCCTGGGAGGAAAGGCGACAAAGGAGACTGTCTTGGTATACCGGTAAGAATTGAAGGAAAGGACGTAAAACATTTTGGATGTCCTTGTTGTTGAAACCCGTTGTTTTCACTTTGGTTAGAAACTAAATGAGAAATCTTACTGGGCGCTGACACTAATGGGATAATGTTCTCACCCTCTTAGGGACCTCCTGGTCCTCCAGGCGCACCGGGACATCCAGGAAGAATTATTGGGCTTAAAGGAGTAGGTTTCCATTCGTGGCTTTTCATTTCTCTAACTTGTTATTTTCAGTTGGTGGACTGGCATCATGATGATAATCATTGAAGTTGCCAACACTTTGCATTGGAATATTTAAAAGACAAATATACAAATAATTTGAAAATAAATCATTTTTGAACGCCGCTCTTCTTTGAATTTTAAAGACAGTGTTTCCGGTGCGCCCCAGACCGCACTGCAAAAAGGGACGAGTAAGTCTGAGTCAGAGTTTCTGATTGGTCTGTTTCACCTATCCGTTGGTTCTGTTGGTGTGTTGGTGTAGCAGCATGGCAGCTCTCTGGTCTGGGCTACAAACCTTTTTACCCTCCCGCATTCTCTCCTCTCCTCCCCTCCTCTGTCCTAATGATCCTGTAAAATGGCTAAATGTCTCTGGGTCTGGCCCCCATTTCATCACGCATTAAAACTCCTGTTGTATCTAGTGAAGTTCATTTCCACGACAGGTATTTGTGGTTGGACCTAAATGTATTATAAGTAGCTGCCAGAAATGGATTAAACACAGCCACCTATAAATTGAGTGCACCCACATTTTCCATGTGCTGAATCCAATCTGATCAACCATGCGGGATGTTAATGCCAGGTGTTAAAGGGGCTCTGAGACTGAATTTCACTTTCCTTGTCTGTCCTTACCGTACTCGTCTTCTTAGGACAGTGGGAGCTGAATGGTCCCCTGAAAGTGAGGCAAAGAATATGGATATTATTGATACTTCTCCTTCTACTCTATTATCATCGGAGTTGACGCAAATTTCAAAAAAAGGAATCTACAGAGGCTGTAACATCTTGACCATTACTTTTCTATTTTTTTGTTATGCTAAGGAGAAGCTTCAATCCAATTGATTGTATCCTAAGTGATACATATCCAACTCTGGCCTGCCATTCATCCTTTAGATCAAAATGTTTGTCTATTGTCCTGGTGCTTTGAAAACAGTGTGCTTGAAGTGCTCACAGGTCTCTGGAGACACTGCAGTTTCTGCTTGGCTCCATCCATCCATCTTCAACCGCTTATCCGGGGTCGTGTCGAGGGGGCAACAGCTCCAGCAGGGGACACTATTCTTCCCTTTCCCAGGCCACATCTACCAGCTCTGACTGGGAGATCCCAAGGCATTCCCAGGCAGTGTGGAGATATAATCTCTCCACCTAGTCCTGGGTGTTCCCCGGGGCCTCTTCCCAGCTGTCCATGCCTGGAACAGCTTCCAAGGGAGGTGCCTAGGGGGCATCCTTACCACATGCCCAAACCACCTCAACTGGCTCCTTTCAATGCAAAGGAGCAGCGGCTCTACTCCGAGCTCCTCAAGAATGGCTGAGCTTTTCACCCTATCTCTAAGGGAGATGCCAGCCACTCTCCTGAGGAAACCCATTTCAGCCGCTTGTACCCGTGACCTAGTTCTTTGGGTCATGACCCATCCTTCATGACTATGGGTTAGTGTCGGAACGAAGATTGAGCGGTAGATCGAGATCCGATTCTCCGGCCAAACTCATTCTCCATCTTCCCCTCACACAAGACCCAGAGGTACTGGAACTCCTTCACGTCGGGTAAGGACACATTCTCTACCCGGAGTAGGAAATCCATCGGTTTCCTCATCCTAATCCTCATCCAAACCGCTTCCCACTTGGTTGCAAACCGCTCCAGTGAGAGTTGGAGGTCACAGACAGAAGATGCCATCAGGACCACATCATCTGCAAAAAGCAGCGATGAAATCCGCAGCCCCTGGAACTGTAGACCCTCCTCTCCCCGACTACGCCTCGATACCCTGTCATACAACCACAAACAAAGAAGAAGGCGCAGACCTGGCGGAGGCCAACCCCACCGGAAACGACTCTGACTTACTGCCGAGTACCTGAACACAGCTCTCGCTTTGGGAGTACAGGGATTGGATGGCCCAAAATAGGGACCCCCTCACCCCATACTCCCGCAGCACCTTCACATTATCTCTCGGGGGACCCATTCACACGCCTCCTCCAGGTCCACAAAACACATGTAGACTGGATAAGCATACTCCATGATTCTTGAAAGAGTAAAGAGCTGGTCCGTCGTTCCACGACCAGGACAAAAAACGCATTGTTCCTCTTCAATCCTTGAATCGGCCGAACCCTCCTTTCCAGCACCTTGGAGTAGACTTTACCGGGGAGGCTGTGTGACACCCCTGTAATTGGCACACACTCTCTGGTCCCCCTTTTTGAAGAGAGGTACCACCACCCCGGTCTGCCATCTTTTTGGCACTGCCCCAGACTTCATGCAAAATTGAAGAGGTGTGTCATCCAGGTGTGACTACCTCATTGACCTCCACCAGGCAAATTAGCGATGATCCCTCCTACGCCTCTACCAAAGAGGGTTGTGGAAGTGTTCCTTCCACCGCCCGATAACCTCCTCAGTTGCGGTCAACGGGGTACCATCCTTACTGTACACAGCTTGAATTTTACCCCGTTTTCCCCTCCTGAGTTGTCCCTGGGCAGTTACCAGCCCACTGCGGAAGGACTCTGATCCGGCTTTGCTGTCGCCGTCGACAGGACGACTGTCTTAGAAGGCTGTTTTTTAAATGGCCTGTATGGAGACACCAGCGTGTTTATCCACAGGGACGTCACAATCTGCACCAATGAAAAGTTAGTGGACATTTGATCCACAAATATCATTGGTTGGCTAATTAGTCAAACTCTCAAGCAACGTGTTATCCGTGGATTGTTTTAGTTCGTATGCAGCCCTCTTATTAGATACACATCATAGTTTTGTATCAATTTATTAAGTAATTTTAAAGACTTGAAGTATGGGGCTTAATGTAATAACTCTACTATAAATTTGGACCATGCGGCACCCTTATGAGAAAAAGTCTACTACTCACTTGATTCATACAGCTTATAGTCCTAATCGCAAGTCTTCTTCAATACAGCATGATGTTCATTAATTCAATTATGGTCCAACTAGAGTAAAATAGAACATAAATGTGTGTGATTGACAGGTTGCAACCGCAGCCAGAGCGGCATATGACGTCACTGCGTCACCACCGCAGTCAAATCCACAGTCCACAAACCAATGGGTGCATCAAGATAACTACTCCAAATTATAAATTCATGAATACATATTAAATGATTTTATTCCGGTTTATATTCATTTTCATGCTGATGAAAAGACTATCTTTGGTCTTTGTAGGCAGCAGATTGCGTCCATTGGAATGTCTTTTTACAACTTCTTTAATGCTATTTCCTTCGGCTTCCAACCTGACGTTTGGGCTCATGGCATCATTGAAAGCAGTGGCGATGAAGGCGTGGGACATGAGCCTCCAGGAAGTCATTCACAGTAACTTAGTGAAAAACACATTGGAATGAAAATTCAGGAACTTCAGGTTTATGAATGCCGTCATATTTTGACGCAGATCTGTTTCTTAAAAAACACTAGTTTTAACCGTGTGTTCCCCAAGCCTTTGTATTATAACAACCAGAGACAGGAGAAGGCTGTACGCGCTGCTGTCTCAAGCATGCATTGCTTGTATTTAACAGGTGTTTTTTTCTCATTCGCCTTTTTTTATAACCAGTTTTACAGTTTTTAACATTCTTTACAGCTTTGAAAAAATCGTTTCAGGCTACGTGTGCAACCATCTGTAGATTGTCTACATGTGCACATGCAAGCGCCTTCTATCACCAACGGGCTGGTATCCATGTATTGATAGTGTGTGTATGGGTCGTGTGTGTGTGTGTGTGTTTGTGTATAGGAAGCAGTGACAACGGGAGATTCAGTCAGAGCTAAAGGAGATAAAGGAGATGAGGGAATACCTGGAGAGCCAGGCACACCTGGTGAGACATCTCATTGACTGCCATTGACTTTCTCTCTTACATAACACTTTGTGAGGAAGCAGTGGGGAAAAAAAAAACTGCTGTAAAATAAATAACTGCTGGAACGTGCATCATATACGCCTTATGAATTTTCATCCACAGCGCCCGAGATTCCAGACGGACTTGTGGTAAGTACTGATTCCTCCTACGCCGTTGGTCGAAAGCAGGCTCAGAAAAAACTACAAATGACAAAGCCCCCCAGTCCTAGATCAAAGACATGTATTCACTAACAAAACAGTAAAGGATTTGAGTATAGAACATAACTCAAACCACGGAGTCAATGGTATCAGCTCTCTGAACTTCTTCAGTCTGTTTGTTTCTTTGTTTCTGTGAATCTCTCAGGGTGCTAGAGGTGATCAGGGATACCACGGTCAGAAGGGAGAAAAGGGTGACGGCGGTGTGCCTGGTCCCCCAGGACTGCCTGGGAGGTCAGGACTTGTGGTAAGATCTACTTAAATACGACTCCAATCGTTATGTGTTCAGGTATTGAAATGATTGAATGTAATGAATGTGTCTGATTACAGACGATTTCTAAATTCTGCTCTTGTTATGAGTTTGTTGCTGTTGAATATCTTTGAGTTAGCGTGCACCACACAGTGAAATAGTTCAGCTGACGGAAGTATCTCTTTAAAATGTGCGCAGGGATTGTCAGATGAATCAGTCTGTCTGTATATTCCTGTAGGGTCCAAAAGGTGAATCCATCATTGGCCCTTCAGGACCTGTTGGTCCTGTGGGTCAACCTGGGGCCCCCGGGTACGGACAACCCGGTCCCCGTGGCCCCCCCGGCCCTGCTGGACCCCGAGGAATGGCAACTGCACCGGGTATGTGAAGTGCTTATAGCACTTATAGCAATGCAAGGTATGGACCAAGTTTGATTTGTCTGATGAATGATTTTCGTTTTCGAATGATTCGTTCTCAGGGGTCAACGTCCCTGGTCCTCCTGGTCCCCCCGGCCCACCCGGATCTCCGGGATATGCAAACCCTGTAAGATACCCTCTATTGAGCAAGGCACTTTTACTTCTCTGGGACTGTCTTGTCTACCTATATTATACCGATGGGAATTAAGGTACAAAGATGAGACAACAAGAAGTGACAGAAAGGAGAGAGGCTTGTTAGCTTCAGTGTTTCCCCTATTATTATAGGGCCAGCCCCACCCGCCCCCCCAAAAGTCTGGAGGTACTGTATAATGCTGGTAAATTACAGAAGTCCACTGTTATCGTTAATTGAAGGCACTAACTGTTAAATTACGGCATTGACTGTTAATTTCCATGAACGGGATGAACATGTCGTTATTTAGTTATTAACAGTTATTATGAAATAATGCAAGATACTGTTAAAAATCCAACAGAAATTTGCATGAATTTGTTACAGTCTACGTCTATTTGTTCATGATTTGGCTTTGTATTGAGCCCGTGTTGTGAGCGTCCAGTAAAAAATGTATCTGTAAAGGGAGAGATTAAGAAAAACTTGGTCTGTGTCAGGTGACTATCTATAAGACGAGCCACGCTCTGAGCAGAGAGACTCACCGGGCCGCAGAGGGAACCTTGGTCTACGTGTCTGAGAAGGGAGGAGAGCTGTACATCAAAGCACGCAACGGCTGGCGTAACATTCAGGTGTGTATTTGTGTGTGGCCAATTAAGAAAAGTGTCTTACTGTGTGTAGCTTTTAACTGCATTTTGTATGTGTGTCCCTCCTTCAGCTCGGGGATTTGATCCAATCTGGACCTTCCACCTCAGCCGTGTCTCAGTCTCTCAGCAGAACTGGAGCTTGGAGTAGACCGCCCAAGACTCAGAGCCACAGCCAGGTAGACACACATTTCCGTGAATGACACTTTTTTAACGTCAATTTTGTGAACTTTTTTTGGATTCACTTGTGGTCAAATGCTATCAGGTTGTGTGCCAGTTGTAGACAGAAATGATTGTTTTCAATGTTTGACGAATAATTTAGTACAGAGGTCTTCAACGGGGGGTCCACGGAGGTACTGCAGGGGGGTCACGATTTTTTTTTTTTAAAACCATTTTTTTCCCCACAAATTTAAATTATTCAGAATCAGAATTGTATTTATTGTCTTTAAATACACATTAACATGAATCCAACATATTGTAGCGAACGGATAAATTGATGGAGGAGACATTATTTTTCAGTCCGCAACACACACAATGAGCTTCCCACAGGAGCTCTCTCAAGTTGGGCACTGGTTCATTCATCATGCAAATACGACATCACAGGCACCAGCCAATAAGATTGCATTTATGCTCACGTCTAAAGACCGCAAAGCTCAAAATAAAAGATGGCGGACCAAACTCCGTAGAATAGGGGGTCCCAGCTCCATCCCGCCATCAGTTTGGGGGTCCTTGGCCTGAAAAACGTCCCCTGATTTAGTAGACATCCATTAAACGGGCTACTTTGCAAAACGGCAGTCACAGCAACTCACATAATGTAATGTGAAAATGCTCCGCCTTAGAGTAGCTTGTTTATCAAGAGTGCATTCATGTTTCTCATAGAACCAAACCTAAGCTCGCATTCAGACACAGCTCAACCAACCTTGCAGTGAGCGTTTCATTGAATGGTTAAAAAAAATAACACTCAAGGTGTAATGTCATATACAAATTTTCTGCTTGAAACTCCCACACATTGTGAAATGTGCTATTTATTTGAGCACATTGGAGAGGGCTTTGGCAGGTGGTTGCATTATATTTAGCTGTATTTGTCGTTTAAACATTCTATCTTTTACATTTAAAACTAAAAAACAACCTCTGATGATTGTTTGTGACGAATAGGAGCTTCAAGAGGGCAGTAGAGGATATCAGCCCATCTATAACGTACTACCACAGACCTTCAACGATGTACCCGGGGTGAGTGTTACAAACACATTTGCAAACTTACACACACACACCTATCAACACACGTGCATAAGACCAAGCACCGTGTTGGATTTGGCCAAGTATGTTTTCTCTTTTTCTAGGTTTCCTCATCTGTATGTCTCTCTTTCCCAGCTCCACCTGGTAGCCCTAAACTCCCCTCTGAAGGGGGACATGCGTGGCATCCGGGGGGCAGACTTCCAGTGCTACCAGCAGGCCCGCTCCATGGGGCTGACTACCACCTACAGGGCCTTCCTGTCCTCGCACCTCCAGGACTTGGCAACGATCGTGAGGAAGGCGGACCGCACCGACATGCCGGTGGTGAACCTCAGGGTGAGGAGAGATTTCCGTTTACATTTCCAACGTCCTTCAATACAAGATACGAGACAAATGAAAGCAGGTTGATGAAGTGTTTCTCTGGTGCTTTTTCTGTTTTTCAGGTATGATTCTCATGCATTTTAGACCATTTTAGTAGTTTGCATTAACTAGCGATAGAACCTTATTTTAATTTTATATAGTTTATATTCTTCTATACTCTACCGTACTCTACCGTGTTATTTGTCTTGTTGTCCATTGTCTTATTGTCCAATGCTATGCGTCACCCGCCATGTCAAATTCCTTGTATGTCTACCATACGGTGGCAAAAAATGTTTCTGGTTCCTGTTGAACTGAAAAGAATATTTAGGATTCTTTATAAAAAAAAGAAGTTGCACAAACTTTATGGGCAAGATATTGAGGGCAAGTACTTCCGCCCAAATTTATATTTATTCCATTTTCTACACTGTATCCCGGTTTAGAGCGATGTGTAAATGTATTTCAGCCACCTAAAAAAATCTATATCATAAACCTGTCCTGTTCTCCTCAGGGTGAAGTTTTGTTCAGTAGCTGGATGTCCATCTTCTCCGGGAATGGAGGAACGTTTAACCCATCCACAGCCATCTACTCCTTTGACGGACGCGATGTGCTGTCTGACCCCGCATGGTGAGTGAGAGTGTCGTTGTGTGCTCCGTGAGCAAGCAAGGGAAATGGTTTGCGTGGTGGGAGATGAAAGCCAAGCATCTTGATGGTTTCATGAGAAAAGGAATATTTTACTACTGATAGAACTCGTGTTAAAGTGGACATTGAAATGGAAAGCAATTACATTGACAATAGCTGAGGTATTTTGGGGCATCTGCCTTTATCTGATCAGAGCCAATGAAGACTGGACAGGAAATGGGGGGATGAGGTGCTAAAACATACGGAAAGGCAGACTGTGTAGGTGATGTAAAGCTTTATCACAGCTCTCGCAAATATTCTTTATCTTTTTGTGATCAAACTAATCCATAGGAAGCAAATTTGTAGTTCTTGTGTATCTCTTTGTTAGTCTCCACTCAGCCACAGTTGCGAGATGATGCTCTCTCTCTCCCTCGCTCTCCCTCTCTGGGGTCTTGATAACAGTAGTATGGGTTGGCCTCTAGTGGCCTCAGTTAACGGCCTTTAAAAGACTCAAAACACCCTTGTGCATATTAGAGTTTCCAGTTACCTAACCCGCATTAATTTACCCACTAGGGGGAATCTGTAAACACCGCTCTTTTATCTTCAGCATAGCAGCAGCCCATGTGACCTCCACTCTGTGTGTCCCTCTCCCTCTGACCTCCAGGCCTGAGAAGCTGGTGTGGCACGGCTCCAACGCGGTGGGCATCCGTCTGACCACTAACTACTGCGAGGCGTGGAGGACGGCCGACATGGCGGTGACGGGCCAGGCGGCGCTGCTGCAGACGGGACGTCTGTTAGGACAGCACACCCGCTCCTGCTCGAACCACTACATCGTGCTGTGCATAGAGAACACATACGTGGGCAACACGCATCAGAGGAGGACCTGAGGACACGGAGGACTCACACACACACACACACACACACACACACACACACACACACTTGCAGGCACATACACACACCATGATGACACGTCCGCTGCATGGAAATTACACCCAAGTACACAGACAAAAGGCACTTTTGTTAGGAGGTGCAGATAAAATACACACACGCTCACATAGTGAAAGCAGGCGCCGACACTCGAGCAGAAAAGAAATGAACACATTTCAGTTGCTTTCACTTTACCACAGTCTAGAGTGATTCCTTATTCACTGTGAACATGCAACAGCACAGCATATCACCACGCAGGACATTGGGATGTACAGTACGTGTTGTTGAAGTGAAAGATGACTCGGGATATCAGGTAGTGTCATAGGGGGATCTGAGCAGAGCTCAATGATGAACAGACAACCATAAATGTGTTATGTACAGAAGCCCTGAGAGGTAAGTGAAGGTTAAATCCATTTACCAAGTGAATGCGCAACACAAGTTGTGTGTTAGCAATTCACGTCAATTGAAAATGTCTTGGTTGGACAGTGGTGCGCTTCAGCCTCACCTGGATAAAATGATGAAAATACGAGAAACGACTTAATCATGAAAAAGGATCCCCACTATTTTTTGCTGGCCCACTATTTTTTAAATTAAATTAATTATTCTCACAGACAAGAAAAAATAACTTAATAGAATTTTAATAGATTATCCTGCTAAACCTTTTCTCAATTTACAAACACATGTTACTTTAATCAGACTTTAATCAGAAATGGATCAACATCATTAATTTTTACTCACTTGCTTCTCAGGGCTTCTGTGGTTATTCTTTACATATTTGCTAATCATTTTCAAATGCCTTCCATAGCTTTAGAATTCTTTTAGTTGTTTTTTATAGTTCCATGCTTTTTTAAACATCATTGAAATCTAGAGTCAGAAATGGTTAGCTGTAATATAGTTTTTATGCAGGTAAATGTCACTGAATTTTGGATAAAAATGCTTCATTTAGGAAGTTTAATCTCACTTTAAAAACTTACAGTGTTGTAGTTTAGACTCCAGAGATGTGTATCAAAGCTAGCTGTTGTGAAGAAACATGCAACATTCACTCTGCAGAGCAGACTTCAAGTTTTCAGGATATGCATTGAATAAAACATTTTTTGTAAAATTCGATCTTTTTTATATTGTCATCAAACCCGTCAGAAAAGATCACTTAATACTTTGAAACTGTCTCAGTCTGTCTGAGGCTCTCAGCTCCAAAACAACTTGCTACTGAAGGCCTAATATTTTCGAAAAGAGAAGGTTACATACAAAATATTTATTCATATTCAGAATTCTAAAGCAGCCCGCTCAGCTGTAGTTTTAAGCAATAATTTCTATATGTCTTTGGTTGCTAGTTCAGTAGTGAATTAATACACATTTGGGGCTCTCGTGGCAGCAGTAGGGGGGTTGTAGGATAAAGTTAAAATAGAAAAGAGTTTATTGTAGTAAAGGAATATGTGCCCCAGATCAACAGTGTGCTGATCACAATGTGTTTAATAGTTATACAGCAGGTAGAGAGGAATACATTACGTGCCGATACACTCCAGAACACTTCTTGATTTGGATTTGTTATTTGTTGGTTTGGGGCTTTAAATGGTATTTGCTAACAATGGGAGAAAGAAATGTCACCAGACTCACGTTGAAAGTATGAGAGCAATGTGAACCATTGGAAAAACAGATTGTGAGAACTGAAAAGTAATATTTCAGATGTAAATCCATATAAAGTAAAGTACTTGCTCTAGAAAACTTCACAGTATAGCTCATGTTTCGTCCATTTTCTCTTTCAGGCCCCATAAAAGCTAAAACAGACCTGGCTGGATTTAACCAATTTTACCACTAAGATCTTCTCTCTAATCGTTGAGCTGCAGGTATTAAATGGATATTAAAGAAATCAGTCACACAAGGTGCGTGCATGTAGAAAGCTGTCGGCCCGGGCGCCCTTCTGCTTCAGCGCGTCCACGAAGAGCTCCACGTCCCGGTGCACCGGGTCGGCCCTGGAGTACAGGTACAGGTGAGGCCAGACGGACAGCCGGTCCCGCACCGCGTCGTAGTGGTTCTTGTGGAAGTACTTGTTTGGCATCCAACCAAAAAACAGAAAGTAGCATAATAAATAACATTATATACAGGTTATAAATAAATAAAGCATTATACAAAGGGTGGCTTATGGCCTGACCTGGTACTATTTGGTAATAAATGAGGCAAAACGGTAGACGGATGAAATTCACAATAAATAATGCAGAGATATTAACAGAAACTATCTCGGGTTGCTTAACTGGTGCAAATATTCAGTGCATATTAACAGTTAAATATATGAAACATGTCTATGTTTACTATTCATTACAGTGGGAATTCAAATAAAAGACAATACTTAATGTATATCGTCATAATATTTCCAAAAGTTACCTTAAGTAACACTATTTTTGGAGGCATTGATGCAGAAGTTGAGCGATTTGACCACCATACCACTGCTGTCCACAGGGGGCGGCATTGCGACATTGGCTGGATGCTAACTGCCGTTCAGCCGCACGCAGAAGAAGAAACGCTCCACCGGGGGAAGCGGACTGTTGCGTAGTGACGGTCCGCCGACCCTCTCTGTGCGCGTGTTACATGTCAGTAGCCGGTCCTGCGCTGTTGCGTTTCTACCGGTTTAAAACACCCAAATGAACCGGACGTTATCCGCTGACCGACGCAGTTGATTCTCTCGCGTGCAGGAATGGCCGACGACGGACTGGACTACAACCTGGTGTTTCCAGATGCGAGCACATCGGGTGAGCATCCTTTCATTGTGCTGTTCGCGTATTTGAACGAGGCAGAAAATGAAACGTTAAATTAACGTTAAGGCCGCCGGCGGCCGTTAGTTTAGCACGCTAGCTGCGTCCAGCGCAGCTCTGCGGGGACGCAGCTTTAACGACGCGCAGTTTCATCGTGTTTCTCGTTTGCAGAGAGACACTGGCAGGGGACAAAGGAGCCGGTTGTGATTCTGCTGCGCTGCGCGTATTTTAACGAGCCAGAAAAGAAAACGTTAAATTAACGTTAATCCCGCCGGCCGTTAGCTTAGCACGCTAGCTGCGTCCACCAGCTTTGACGACGCGCATTTTCATCTCGTGTTTCTCGTTTGCAGAGAGGCACTGGCAGGGGACAAAGGAGCCGGTTGTGATTCTGCTGGGCTGGGCTGGCTGCAAAGACAAGCACCTGTCCAAATACAGCTCCATCTACAACGAGCAGGTGAGAAGAGCTCGCGTGTCTGATGTTTTTGTCCTTCTGTCTGACATCTCCAGTTCTTTATCTCCTTTTGTGTCCTTCAGGGATGTGTCACGCTCCGCTACACGGCTCCCCTGAAGACGGTGTTCATCTCCGAGTCCTTTGGTTACAAGGAGCTGAGCAACACGGCCCTCAAGCTGCTGGAGGTCCTCTACGACTACGAGGTGGAAAACAGCCCCGTTTTCTTTCACGTCTTCAGCAACGGCGGCTTCATGCTGTACCGTTACATCATCGAGCTGCTGCACAACGACAAACAGTTCAGTTCCTTGTGCGTGATCGGGGCCCTGGTGGACAGCGCCCCGGGTAGCGGGAACGTCCGCGGGGCCCTGCGTGCCCTTGGGGCCACCCTGGGCCCCAAAATAACTCCCTGTCTTCGGTACGTCCTCCTAGCCCTCTTCGCGGTGACCGTGTTCCTGCTGCGGGTGGTGCTGTACCCTTTGACCAAGTACTTCCACAAGAACCACTACGACGCGGTGCGGGACCGCCCGCCCGTCTGGCCTCACTTGTACCTGTACTCCAGGGCCGACCAGGTGATCAGGCACCGGGACGTGGAGCTCTTCGTGGACGCCCTGAAGCAGAAGGGCGCCCGGGCCGACGGGTTCGACTTTGTCTCCAGTCCCCACGTCGGCCACTTCCGGGACTTTCCCGAGCAGTACGCTCTCAAGTGCCGCAGCTTCCTAGTGGCCTGCGTGAAGGACCTGGAAGGGGCCGAGGCAAAGAGGAGACAGAGGGTCCAGAGTCAGTGACTTAACAGCGACTAAATGTCTGTGCAGTATTCCGGTACTCATTGTGTCCTTTAATATTCCTTCGAAGCTTTTTCCACTATCCTGAGCTCTTCGTTTTAACTCATTGAGGTAGTTTGTTGTGCAGCTACGACCAACTGCAGCGCTGTACTCATCGTTTAGCGCGTTCGTGCAAAAATTAAGTCTTGGCTCGTCTTGTGAGGGGTGCGAATATGGCAACAGCAGCTGTAAAGCGGCCACAGATGAACTCAACGATCTGGTTTTTGTCATATACACTGGTGGCATCATCAATTGTGGTTATTTTCTTGATCGACTCATATCGCTTTAGACAGTCAAATGTCCTCATCAGCTCCTGTATTTGTTACACCACTAATAATCACAGACCTTTGTATATCCACCCCTGACTGCTGAATGAACTCTTAAGTCCATCCGGTTCATCACACGAGGGGAGAAAAATACGGAAAAAATATATAATCCACTTTGAGGTCCTTGGAAATGTTTTTAGTGTCCTTGTCCTACTACGTCTCCACAGTACTGGTAGGTTGGTCCATCTGGTGTCTCCCATGGGAACCGTGCGCGGCTCAGGTACCGCTCGTGTCCTGGTTCGAAAACAATAATTACCCTCTATGTGCTAAACCAAGCTAACCGCTAAGCTAGCGGGACATCACCAACAACCATGCAAGCTGCTGACACACACCGCTGAACGATGAATTGTGCGTGTTGACCTGTCACCGCCGCGTGGGATCGTAATCATAACAGGAAGTGACCTTTCCCTGACCCGGATATTTGCGGTGTCACAGCTAGCAAGCGGTTGGTAATACTTTTCCCACTGTACTAATTCCCAGAGGGCTACACAGCATGTGATGAGAAGGTTCCACAGATTTCTGCCAAATCCATATCTGGAAAAAACAAGCAACCGGTGATGTGTGGCACAAAGGCTCCTACGTGTTTGCATCCTACGAACTTCTTAAAAATAACAATACAAACGATTGCCATACACTGGAAAATGAAATCCTTTGGGATAATTGGAAGGGTATTTAATATTGCTGTGAAATGTGATGCGTTAGTGGTAGCGATTCTAAAACTGAGGTATTGGATCATTTGTATCTTCTTATTTATACAATTGACAAGGTATTTAAGATTATTATTGATTTAGTGGAAGTAAAAGGTAATTGACAATGAATGTATATGTCCAGCGCAACTAGTGTGTTCTTTCTAACTGATGTGCCTTTAATAAAATACAATGCTCGTTACAAACCTCCTTAATATTGATGATTCAAATTATTTGACTTATTTGGATCTCTCAAGATTTCACCACTATGTGGCGACTTTGTCAGTGTGTCATGTTTTGGTCACTTTTCACTGAGGTCATGGAAATGAATTTCCTTTAAAGATGCCAGATGATGCAGTGTTTGAACTTTTGATAAAGGTTTCTTGAGCTTTCACAATACACAGTCCATTACCGTTAATGCTTCCACTCACAAAGCAATCCATCGGGTGACATACGGGCGCAGCCGCCTCTGATTGGTTAAAACATGCTTGTGTCAGATTCATTATAAGTTTATTAAACAGTCACGTAGCTGGCTCCGGGTTTCAACCAACCCAGAGCCAGCTACGTACACCTGTTATTGCACAGTACGTCAGCGATCCGTCTTCTTTTAACGTTCAAAGTTACACAAAAGCATACTATGTGAAACCTCTTATCTCGCGACCTCCATTTCAATTTACTGGGCGGCTCTCCCTACATTCCATGTAAGCACACATCGCTTTCAGGCTGAATATGGATTCCTGTTAAGTTACTGAAATGAACACACTCTTCAGCAGTCACATCCATTTATGAAGCCTTTTACTACTCTTTCATTTATTTATTTCAAGTTTTCACGACTTGCTGTGTTGTAAATAACGTGTGGACTTGCAATATTTGCACACTTGTCTCCACAAAAATGCAGCAATATAAGTAGTAAAATATGCAGATATTCTAGTTAGAAAACCTACATTTTTAAAGAGTCCTGCCATTCTCATGGTGGGCAGTGAAGTAAAACCCGAGGCCATTTCATTTATTGATTTGTTTACGACAGCTGTTTTATTTGAAGTTCAGTCCGCTTCCGCTCCTTCAGCGACGACCAGAAAGACTATGACGTCCTTGGGGAGACGGGTGGGGGGGCTGCACTCCATCACAGAGAGACTGATCAACTTTCTAAAGCACAAGATCTGAGTACTTCCTCTACCTCTGTGATTGACCGTCCACCCACCTGGCAGGATGAGGTCATTACAATAAATTGCGAATTACCCCCGTATCATAGCAACTGCCCCATCACACGTACACTGACTTGATCAACTCAACAAATGCGTAGTTTGGTAGAATGTCTGATCGCTTTTGTCACTGACTCGAAACACAGTGAGGCCAAAGCAAGAGGTGAGATCTTTTGCGTGCAGTGACCTGGACGTTCCTGAAGAGGGCAGCATTGACTCACAGTGAGGCCTCACCTGAGCATCCGGGGGAGCAGGAGGAGGCTCAGTTGTGGCTCCTGAGGGATGCCGGGCAGTGGAAACGACACATCCACGAAGCCGCTTCTCTGCAGGAACCACTGCTGGGAATCGGTAATGAAAAGAAAATGTATTTTCTTTTGGATTAAAACACTTTGAAGAAATGACCCGACGGAAGTTAATGAAGTCTCACAAGTTGACGAGGGGGGAGTTGCAGCGAAGAGGGGTCATCGCTTTCTCTTTAGCGATGACCCCTCTTCGCTGCCACGGAACATGGCCGCCGTTAAAATGCGTACTTTTAGAGGACGCCAAGCACTCCAGCAGGGTGAGGGGGTGGATGTGGTAACATATCGCCATTGTTCTCCATCCCACAGTGATACTTTCTTAGACCACACGTTGACTTCTAGCCGTGATTGACAGGACTCTGCACTTTTAGTTTCCCTGGTTATCGTGGAAAGGGGGAAAAAGTTCTATATGTAGAATTTACGTATGTTGACATTTTGGATGCGTCTCCGTGAACTCCCCCTTCCAGATCATTGCATGGCAACGTGTTGTATTGCATCTGACAGGCACACACACACACACACACACACTCACAGACACACACACGGTCACAGATAGCATCTAATAGTCTGAGCCTCTTCCTCTGCTGATCGGAAGTGATGTTGTATAAAGTTTGACATTTAGATTCCAAGTCTGACATACTGTGATTTTATGGCCGATGCTGGCGATCTTCTTCTGTGTGTGTTTGTGCATTTCCCTTTACGTCGTGTAGGATATGTGCAGCACTGCTTCTTTTTTTAACTCTTGGGTTATTTTGAGTTCGGTTTTGCATTAATTTGTTCGTAGATAAATATAAATAAATACATAATCCTCTTTTTCTCGGCATCCCTTCTAATCTTCATAGTGCTCCCGTGCTTATCTCTTCACACAGACAGACGCATGCACACACAAACACACACTTACAGGTGTGTCACGCTGTATTTCCCCGACAACACCTGGACTTTTTCTCCGGCTCCACAGGAACCGTCCTTGTGATCGAGTTGAGCGGGGAGCCATTGAGAAGTCACTCAAGTCGCCCTCTCTTCCCTCTAATGAGCAAAGTGTCTGGTGGAAGTTGAGTCCGAGACAGCATGGGAGCTGGCGAACACACACACGGAGGAACAAATGCACCGCGAGTGCACACAAGTGCAAACACGCGCACACCTTCAAGGGGATGAAATCCAGAGGATCAGGACCAAAGTCCCACCCGCCTTTGAGTAACTTTAAAAGGTCTCCCGGTGTTTTGAATTGAAGAATGAAGAGAAAACTGATGTGTGTCTTCATCTGAGTGTGTGTGTGTGTGTGTGCGGTTAGGAGATGATTCGGCTTGCTGGACCAGACAGGTAGCCATCATCAAAATCTCCACATGTCTATCTCAGCCCCTCAGCCCTTTACCTCAGACCAAAAGCCCCACACACCTAGAAAGCGATGGAATGTTAGATAAAGGTGGAGGGGGGCGAGTGGAAGAGGGAGGGGGGGGGGCCGAGGGGCAGAGAGGGAGAGGAAGATGGAGAGTGAGAGGAACAGCGGTGTAGGAACCCCTCAGCATGTGTGCGGCCCCTCTCCCATCGCGTGGTGCAGCAGGCAGTCTCGCTCGGGCTGTTCAAAGCGAGCGAGCGTGTGTGTGTGTGTGTGTGTGTGTGTGTGTTCCAGCGGGAGCTCGTGCGCGTGTTTTTCACAGATGTCCTTGAACAGAACCCCCTCGGCTCTGCGGATCCCTGCTGCCACTGGAGAACATTTGACAAGCAGCATGCTCTTGTTAGAGCGCTGTCAAATTAAAGGTGTGTGCGTGTGTGTGTGTGTGTGAGAGAGAGAGTGTGTGTGCATTTGTGAAGCTCTATTCGGAGCCCTGTCAAATTAAAACTACCAAACAAACTGTGTGTGTCACACAGACAGGCCAGTGTTAGGCCTTGGTCTGCTACGTCTGTGTTTGTTTGTGGGCAGAGATCTGTTTGTGTTTGTTTGTGTGTGTGTGTGTATGTGTGTGAAAGAGAGAAAGAAGACTTGGACAGCGTGCATTTTCTTTTAAAGAAATATATCTAACATATTCTAATTCAGGGTAGAACATGACACAAATGAGCACACGTGTTCACAAAAGTGTATCAAAGCGACGAAATGACAAATATATTGTCGTGGTGAGTAGATAATGTAGTGAGCTTCAGATGATGAATGAGCATTAAGACGAAAGAGGAAGCTGTGCGTCTCCCACAGCTTCTGTGGAGAGACACATGCGTAAACACAGGCAACCTTTATGTCCGGTCTGCATCATTTACAGGATATCCCGCTGTGTGTGTGTGTGTGTGTGTGTGTGTGTTCATGTACTCTTTGTGCACTTACGAGGAATAGGTGTAGTCCATAACTCTGCAGGTGTTGTTTTTGCACCTGCGTTCAGCCTCTGTCATTGAAATGAGTTCTGGTGCTCATTCTTACCTTTACTCACTTTACGTCTTCTCTCGTGCTTTGATTGTTAATTAATTAATTGTTCAGTCTCATAAAACGTTGACTTTTCTTTTTTGTAACACAACTAACGTACTTAACTGGGTCTTATTTTATGAGTAATATCGTAAAAATACTTAAAATCCAACATCTTTTCCTAAAGCTAACCGCGTAGCTATCCGCCACATTACTGAAAGTTTAATTTAGAAAGAGAACAGTCATTTGACGGAGTAGAACAGTCATTTGACGGAGTAGAACAGTCATTTGACGGAGTAGAACAGTCATTTGACGGAGTAGTACTGGCATGCGTGTGTTTGCTTTCCCCACCGTGTTTGTGTGCACAGTGCAGCCTAAGTACACTACAGAGACTACAGAAGTGTTTTAACTTTGCCTCCATTAGCAAAATGTTATGATTTATGCAGTTGCTGGCAGACTAATATCTTTAGAAGTTTTTTTTCTCCCTTTATCTTGTAGCTGGGAAGCCGATTCATCTTAAAGAGTGATGAGGGGAGGTTGCTCTCTATGCAAAACGCATTAGAGCTAAATGAGGAGTCTATTACTCAAATCTGGCTGATAATCCGTTAGCTAAAGACCCCTGGCCGCTAACTAAGCAGATTAAGATATGTCATCGCCACGGCGACCAGGGTGGCAATAAGTACAGTACTTATGTTCTCAACCACACACACACACACACACACACACACATGGAGTAACACCGTGTATTTTGTATACATCCACACATCTGCTTGGCATTCTGCACACACACACACACACACACACACACACACACACACTCACACACGCACACACACACACACACACAGTCTCACATATGCATATGCACATGATGTTGTTCAGTTAATCCAATACTTTCTCAAACACACACCAACGGACACACACACAGACACACACACCGTCAACACCCCCACCACTTATCTACATATAGTGTCTCCTTGCCAACTCACTTCATAGAATTAATTCTCTCCTCCCCGCCCACTCTGTTGTGCTGTCTGTTTGTGCGTGGGTGTGTGTGCGTACGTGTGTGTGAAAGAAATGCACAGGGGACTCATGAAGAGGCCGTGTTTGCATGAACATGGACAATTCATCATGGCTTGATTAACATACAAGGCTTTTTATCTTCCCCTTGCTCTCTCCCTGTGCTTTGGTCCTGTGGTAATAATTACAAATAATTTGTTCCTTCTGGTTAATTAACTAATATCCTTTGCACATAGTCTTTACAGTCTTCATTTCTTGAAATAAAATAAAGTGATTATTTTTTAATCTTACTTAAATTCCAACGC